TGCAAATAAACAGTTATTTAGATTTTGAAAGCCGACAGAATGATACAGCATGTGGGCTGTCTCTGATGGCACCCGATCTGATGAAAACATGTATTTCAGTTGCTTGTGACTTAATAGAAGGCCTTGAAAATTGAAGGGCCAGTGTTTCTGAATTCTCACCCTTCACACACCTGGCTAGAGCACCCATGGCAAATGGGCACGATGGACATTTTTTAAAGATTTTATTTATTTATTCATGTGTGTGTGAGAGAGAGAGGCAGGCAGAGACATAGGCAGAGGGAGAAGCAAGCTCCATGCAGGGAACCCAATGTGGGACTTGATCCTGGGACTCCAGGATCATGCCCTGAGCGGAAGGCTGATGTTGAACCACTGAGCCACTCAGGTGTCCCACAATGGGCATTTTTTATTGTATCCAATTTAACACCTATGTTCAAGTATGGATTTTGGCCACATTAGCTAATTGATCATCTGTTCTTCCTCTTGAATCTTGCAACATGTAAGTTGGTGGCTTTCTCTTTTGATCTACTGAGTGTTCACAGAGTGTCTGGTGTAGTGCTGTGCTGATTAAGATAGCTCATTTTTGAGGAATGAGAGATTAATGATAATTCTTTGTAATGCCTCATCGTTTCCTCTAAAATTGCCATCAATCTTGATAAAAGTTTTCCTCTAAAGTGCTTTGTACCAAATCTTTGTGTTAAAATGCAAGTCAGCAAAAGGCTGTGTATGTATGTGTGTTTATGTGTGTGTGTCTGTGTGCGGATGCCTGCCCTCACACTTGGGATGGGGCAGGGTGGAGTGTGGAGTAGAGAGAGAGAAAAAAGACAAGAAAGAATGGAAAAAGAGAAGTAATCCTTTCTAGCACTCTGAAAAATGGGGTGTCCAGGCTCCTTGGCTCTCCTGAAACAGGCTCATTTCTTATTGCTAATGAATTTCAATTGTAATTACAGAGCATTGGTAAGCCACATTAAGTCCGAAGGGCTGCATCAAAAATATACACCATCGGGATCCCTGGGTGGCGCAGCGGTTTGGCGCCTGCCTTTGGCCCAGGGCGTGATCCTGGAGACCTGGGATCGAATCCCACGTCAGGCTCCCTGCATGGCGCCTGCTTCTCCCTCTGCCTGTGTCTCTGCCTCTCTCTCTCTCTGTGTGTGACTATCATGAATAAATAAATAAAATCTTTAAAAATATATATACACCATCTACAGAAGACACTTCAATTCTCTCTGCAAAACCTAGTAACCAAGCAGTAAATCAATTTGTGAGTAGATATAAACTGTTGCTGGTTGTCCATTAAAAGTTAGCTGTTTCTTCACAATGCTAAGGGGCAAGTTCTGAAGTAACATGAATGGGCTGTGGCTAGATCCAGTGTGCCACTCACTTGCCAGTTTCTGGTCTGTCGCAGAAGTGAACAACAACAGTTAAACTTTAAAGATAAACAGTTTTTTGATTGGGTTCCTGGAGAATAATGGTGCTTTTGTACAATTCTTGAAATAGAGCCTACAGCCGCCCTGAACAAAATAGTCTCTTTCAAGATCTTGGAAATAATGACATCATAGGCAGATTGAACCAGCAATCCATTAATAGTATCCTTTGTAGAAAGCTGTCTCAGGGGAGGGACCTGGTTTAGTAAACTGGCATTGTTTACAAACATAACATAATAGAATCCCCCATTCGTCTACGTTTATGGAATAATCGGAGACACTTCCCACTTGGGAAACAAACATATTAACACCCGAGCTTCCTTACAAGTCCATACTTTTTTTCCATTGGTTTTCTGAAAGCATGCTTTGAAGCAGTTGCTTTGAAGGTGAGTTAAAGATCACAAGCGCCTCCTGCACTATTCTTTTTCACCAAATCAGAATTCTGTGGAAAAGTAAGAGATGAAGATAGGTTGTACCTTATAAAGAGTAATAAAAACATGAAGTAATATCAGGACAGTTCCAGCAAAGCCAAATCTGAAATGGCTAGGTAAAACCAAATGATGATTTGCTTCACACTTCCCATTTTCAGTGTGGAACTAGACAGAGATTCCTCCATTTCTTTTCCATCTCTGAAAGGTGTATTTCCAGTACCTCTTACATACAGTCCTGGGGTGAGTTGAATAGAGTTAAAACAATTCCAGTTTGCTGGGCAGTAGAAAGGGGTACCATATAAGCTGGGTCCTTTGCAGAATGCCTGTATTATGGACCAGCAAGCATATGGTGGTGAAATTTTGATCAGGGATTTCTAGTGTAATAAAGGGGAATATAATTGGAGCTTTCTATCCCAAGTAGCACTTTTTTCCTCTGCCTAAAATATAACCTGGCCAAATAAGGTCAGAAAAATCAGGCAGCTTGAAAAGAAGCAGGGCATCTACCTGTTGAGTCTAGCCAGAGAACAAAAAAGGAACAAAAAACAACACTCCATTAGCCACACCTAATTATCAAGAACAAAGGAGCCTAGTATTTTGAATTACGTAGGTGTACTAGAACCCTAATGGCCCAGACCCTTACTTGCCTTATTATGTAAGGTAAGCTTCGTATATCCTATTAAAGAGCCCATGCCTGTTTTTCATAACTTTTGTCATCTTAAGTAATATGTCATCAGAAAATATGTATCATCCAGCTCTCTCTCTCTCTCTCTCTCTCTCTCTCAGATACATTTTTCAGAAATTTATCTTCTAGGTATTTGTATTTCAACCCTCAGGTGTTTTGATTTTAATGGCTTTGAAATTTCATTATTTTGGCCAAGCTGTATTTTGTGTATCTGAACTTCCTATAATAATCACCCCATACTCGGGCATTATTTTTAAAACCCCCAAAGTAAAACAGACCAAAAAAAAACACAATAAAAATTAATGCTTTCCCCTGGTGGAAAATTCTCCTCAGCAACTAAATTAACACCATGAGCCTGTCCAATACAGAATAATGCCGCTAATGAAGCCGATCTTAAACTCACTTTTCTTCTGGAGAAACAGTGCATTTAGACGGACCAAATTTAAAAGGCAAAAGGGAATGCAGACCCGTTGGCCCCAGTTTCATATGTTAGTCAAAATATTTACTAGTACCAGTGGTATCTGTGAATATACTTTATCCTTGATTGCAATTTTTTCACTTTATCTTGTTCTGTGTGGTTTCACCTATGTAGGAAAATGTGAGGTTAATCAAGTTGTCTTGGAAAACCAAAATTTTATTACTGAGTATTTCCCCTAGAATGGTTACTGGAAAAAATACAGAGTGGGTCTTAAATTCATTAAGACAATGCAAGATGTGACACTTCGGCAAAGGAAAAGAGATCTCTTGCCCAGATGAAGATCAGGCTACTCCTTGTTAGTTGGCTGTCACCTGTGCAGATGGAGAAACTATTAGTTGGCACTCCCCTATGCTTGAATACCTAAACTGGAGAAAAATTTAGAGCATAGGAAAATTTTGAAAATCTTCTGCACCACCTGATGTAATACTTTGTTACTGAAAATGATATACCCATTGTGACCACCAAAGGGATAAAAATCATTATGACATGTTATTTCTCATTACAGCAGCTGATGAGGATACCTTTGTTGCTCTTGTACCTAAGTTTGTTTATAGTAAATGTTGTAGGAATAAAGTGATCTGCTAAGTCGTTTTTGGAGAGCTCCGATGTGCCTAAATTAGCGCCAGTTAATACTTGATGAATTTACATAGATTATTGTGGCACTGGGATTGGACTTGCCTTGTGTTCCAACTGGAGATTCATTTTGAAGATGCCCTTAAGACATGACTTGAGATGGCAAGCCTCCTTGGGGTCTGAGTAGAGGGACTTGAATTAGAGTAGGATATCAGTTGGAAGCAGAAACATTTCCTTGGGGAGTCCCTGCTTTTCCAGGTCACTTTACCTTCCAGTGGGATGAAACCTGAATGTATTCAGCCCTAAGCACAAGCTACTAACAAGTAATGAAATTAAGAGCAGGTAAGTTGCCAAAACCCTGACTGGTTCTGACCACCCTGTTACTACCTTGCCAAGCTCCCTAGTTCCCCATTTCAGGACATAAAACATGACAAGGAGTCAGGTTATGATGTCTTCTCAGGAGCTGGTTGTTTCCTTGGAGCTAGCTCCTCTTTGCTTATGCTGATATCTGGCTCAGCTTTATCTTCTACCTGCTACCTGAAAATGGGACACTCTTTCCCTGTCACTACACCCGAAGCCTGCCAAAACTGTCAGGCCCACTTGATTGAGCCCCCAGTTTTTTCTCATAAAACAGTAGAGTATGTTCTGTGTGTCCTGTATGCATGGGTAAGAATCCGATGCCAGTGGCATCCCAGTGCCAAAGCAGCTAACAAATCACTGTTGGGGGGCGTTAAAATCTACAGCCAAACCTGTCAACTCCAGATTTTGAGGGGGCTGTGCTTCCTGAGCATTGCTAATATCAAGGTAGAACTTTTTTAAAAAATTATTTTAAAGATTTTCTTTCTTTCTTTCTTTCTTTCTTTCTTTCTTTCTTTCTTTCTTTCTTTCTTTCTCTCTTTCCTTGAGATGCAGAGAGAGACAGACATAGACAGAGGGAGAAGCAGGCTCCCTGCAAGGAGCTAGATGCAGGACTTGATCCCGGAACCCTGGGATCATGACCTAAGCCAAAGGCAGATAGTCAATCACTAAGCCACCCAGGTGCCCCCTAGGGAAGAATTTTTAAAGAAGGTTGTAAATTGTTAATTAAAAGACAATGAGCAGATGGCAGAGAATAAAGTCTCACTTTGAGAAAAGGAAGGGACTTTCTGTGTTTGTGTTTATGTGTTGAAAAGCCACGAATTATTGCCCCTGCTTTCCTCTTTGGGAAATGATACCATTGGTCTTTAGAGAGGCAAATGGTAGAAATCCTCCCCCTAGAAAAGAAACCTCCCCCAAATGGTCATCACAAAACCTGAGATGACGTGCGAGCCCCAGTACTTTGGTGTCCGAGACGTCAGAACCCCCATTCTACCAGATTGTTTTTTTTTTTTAGGCTGCTGCTTTCTCAATTCCTGTTTTCTCCTCCTGTTCTGTAGGAGCTGTGCAATCAGTCATAAGTGAAAATGTCTGACAGTTTGGATAATGAAGAGAAACCCCCAGCTCCCCCGCTGAGAATGAACAGTAACAACCGAGATTCTTCGGCACTCAACCACAGCTCCAAACCACTTCCCATGGCCCCTGAAGAGAAGAATAAGAAAGCCAGGCTTCGCTCTATCTTCCCAGGAGGAGGGGATAAAAGTAAAGTATCAGTGGCCGGGCATTGAAAAGGGGCTAGTTTATTTTTTCATTGTCTCTTTCTTGGGTAGTCATTTCTGGAGCATTGGCGCATGCAGGGCCTGCCTGACCTTTCTGTCTATACCTTTAGAGGTTGTGTTTCGTCAGAGGATAATGTTTGATTGACTTAATGGCAGGTTTGCAGAAAATACATGTATGCCGTGTTTGCCTTTCACATAAAATTGAATTTGTAGTGTTCCACCAAGGGAAGTCATAGCAATGGTACTGTCTTGAATCTGTGAATGGTGACTTTCTTTCCAATAACTTAGCAGGGAATTTACGGTAATCCCTTCTTGTCCTTATTGGAAATTTGAGTAGAGGTGGATTTCTTGCTGTGTACCTTTCTGACAACTGTGAAAATTCTGAATTGCATATACCATGGTCAGTCCAAGCCATCACGTGATTGTCCCTCTGACTCCATATCACAAGGTGGGAAGACCCTTCTAAGTCATTTGTTTTCTCTCATTCCTCTGCCAGTTGTCCCCTAAGCCATCAGCCCTATTTGCACTGACATCACAACAGTATATTAACATTTACCCATGTGTTGTTCCTAAAACCATTTGTGATACCAGTTGGCGAGGGTGTGGCAAGAGAATCTCTAGTAAATAATGGTCAGGTTGCATTAATTAGGGTAAACTTAAACAAAGCTTCTATACATGTGACTATTGAGGTGGAAGAGCATGAAACAAGTACCATAGCAGGCTGCCATAAAAGCAAGAAGGGTGATGTCTTTAGAGAAGGGACATTCTCCATCTGTTCCTTCCAGGTGAGAGTACTTGGTGTGAATGAGTCCATAAAGAAAGGCAAAACTCTTATTAGGACCAGGATTGCCTCTTGTACCCCTGTGTCACCTAAGAGGTGCTTTATCCCTGGTAACCCAAGGATGGAAATGTTAAACCGATGCATTTAAACAAGCAAAAGAATGATGAATCACTTTCCATGCATGTGGTCTGTGAACATGCACGAGGGATTTCCAAAGATGTGTTTGCAGACACCGAAGTAGGTCCAGAAAATTTTCTGCTGGGAGTCAGGGACAGTTTGAGAAATTTCTGGTGCGCCGTGACCTGGAGACCAGGTCTCCAGTGAGTGTGGTGCCGAAGAAAGAACCATGAGATCCTCCAGCTCCTGTATTGCACCTGCCACAACTACAGGAAGTGATTGAAGAAGGGGATTATGTGCCTGCCCCAGTCATTGGTGCTGTTGAGACCGCCCTTCTTTGGAAGCCTTTGAATAGCCTTACTTGCCCTTTTGAAGAACAAGAGCCAACCAATGCCAACACGAGGTCAGCAAAAACAGGCCGATGTTTCTGTTTTGTGCCAATACTTGGGGTGACCTCATGGTGAAACCATTACTGCTTGATCCAAAACTATGCTCAGATCATCTCAGGGGGGAAAAAAACTCAAGCCAAGTCTCTGGTATACTGACACACAAACAGAAAAGCCTGGATAACTCCTTTGCTCCTTAAGAAATGGTTTGAAATAGTTGAATAGTGCTTTCTCACAGAAGTTCAGGACAAAAAAAAATTGTGAATTCAAAGTCCTGCTGATTCTCCCCAGTCCTTTCGGTACCTCAGATACATTTGCCACTGTGCCTCCTTGATGCTGAGGTTGTCTTTATAACGAGTTGCATATTTCAGATCCTTGAGCCCTTGATCAGTGCTTGATCTAGCCATTCAAGAAGACTTATGCCAAACTAATGCATAACTTTGTTCTTCACAGTCTCACAAAGGTTCCTTTGTCTGAATATCCTAATGCATGGGATTGTGACACTGTCACTGAGGTTGTCTTAATAAAAGAAGCATTAGACAGTTTTTAATAGAGCCTGTCGGTAACGTAAGCTGACGAAAAACTTGGCTAGAGATGGTGACATACCTTTCAATTCATCTGTTCTGAAGACAGAGACTCTTCGGATCAAGAAGAACCTATATAGATGAGGAGGAACATTTGGTGCAGGAGCATTCACGGGCTGAAGTTGAATGTGAACCTGTTGCTACTCCTTCAAATGATAAGATGCTGTTAGAGGATGACTCTCAGGAAGCTTCCAGTACTCCAGAGGCGATTATCTTAAGAGATGGTGAAGGTAATTAGGAAGCCATGGGACTAGAGACAAATATAGTTACAAGCAACAAGTGCAGATTCTTTAGAATTTAGGATTAAAACCTCCTCCCAGAAAGTAATGCAAATCGATACCTTTACACATCAAATTATAAACTGTTCAAAGCTTGAGTGGTTTAGAAGAACTCTGTGAAGAGGTGCTGTGATGCCTTCAGAATACCACATTGGACAGAAATCCTCTTTCACAGAACCTGAGTCATGAAGGAGGACCATTTAATATCATTGGACAGCTGATAAGTTGCCTTCCCACCAAATGTGAATTTCATTGAACTCTCTAAGGAGGTGCTAAGAGTCTTTTTACATTATCATATTAGGAAAAACCACCCTCTGAAGAGCCTAAATCGCCAAGTAGTGCCATTTAAGTACCCGCGCTAGACACTTCAGAAGCCACTTTTGGGCCAAACGTGAACAATTCAATTTGAACTCTGTACAGAAGTGCTAAAAAGTATCTTCAGGAAAGACTTGAGGAAACAGCATCTTCAGAAGAGCCAGTCATGAAGTTTTACTATTTAAATACATTTGCTTGATAGGGCTAAAAGCACAAGCAAGCTGCTCTGATTTCAAGATTGGATTCTGACGACTGGGAGAATATGAAGATCCATGATTTAAGCTAAAAAGTTCACCTCTGTTCATCACTTCACTGTCACCCCCATTGTCCCACTACCATAATGAGCACCACATCCTCATCACCTCTGGAAATCATCTTAGGATCTAAATGGAAACTCTGTAGAACCTTTTACAAATTTAAGCTATATAAACTCTCATTCTTTTTATGTAATGTGCTGTTATTATTGTTTTGTTTTACTGTGCAAAAAATCATTCGTGAAGGCTTTCAAAAGTTTGCACATGACTTGACTTCCCCTGCCCCCCTTCTTTTGCAAACCTCCTATAATCGTACTTTCTTCAGCTGAACTCTGCTACCTTGGGGGCTGTTCGGGAAACTTGACCCGATAGGTAAGGAGGGGTTTCTGCTCTTGGTGACTGCTTGGGTTATAGCACCATCAGTGTTGAATGAATGAGAGGGGCACTGGATTTGGGCTCTGAAGAACCCGGGTTTGAGTCCAGCTCTGCCACTGATTATTGTGACTTTGGGCCAGTCACTGAGCTTCAGCACCTGTTAAAGGCAGGGAGTCATACCCAGGCTACCTCACAAGAGATCCACTGGCAGCCAAATGCAATTCTGAGTATTAGCTATTAAAATTAAAAAGTGCTAGATAATTGTGAGGTGTTATTACATTTGTATCATTCTGGACCTTACGGACAAAACAACCAATCAGATTTTTGAACTCTTCTTTTTTTTAAGTACCTTTGTCCCTAACTAGAACTTAAATGTCAATTTTAGAAAATGAAAGTTGCCCATAATTTCACAAGCTAAAAATAACCAACTGGATCGGTAGCTTACCTCCTAGCCCTCCTTCTTCATATCATATAGAAGTTGTTTATCCATATATAATAAATGGAAACTAAAGACAAACAGATAAAAAAGATCAAAGTTGCCCATACTCACAAATCTCAGAAACAATGTTAATGTTTTAGTGGATTCTTTCCAGACATTTTTTGTGTTTTGTGGAGATATTAGTAAGTCCTTATATACAGTTTTTTACATAGTTAAAATCCTAATCAATTTTATATCTTAATTTTTTAATTGATGTATACTTAAATTTTTTATCATGAATATTTTCCTACATTTAAAAAAGTTTTCATAAACACCGTTTTTGATAGTGTGTAATATTTCACCATATAGTGGCATCATGGTTTATTTGACCAGTTTATTTTGTTGGTCATTTGGGGTCCTTTCCAAATTTCTGTTATAAATAGTGTTACATTGTCTATCTCTTGAGTTAACTGAAAATACTTTGGGGACAGCAGAAGTTTTTGCTTGTTTGAGAAATTTCTCTCTAATAGCTACATTTCACTGACCAAAGAGAGCTTCAAGAGACAGGCAGAAGCAAAATAAGAAGCTGTAGCTGTAATTTCAGGGTTGAGGATCTATCGTTGGAGACTGTTCCAGAAGCTGGATCTTTGTGTCAGAGCAAATTAGGAGAGACAGTTGGCCACCATTTGATGATACTTTACAATAGAAGAATTTGCAGAATGTAGAGCAGGAAAAAGACATCCTGAAAAGTGGTTTGATTTTATTTTACGGTCCCCATGAAGGGTGAGACAAATCAGGTTTGTCGGCTCCTAGAGAACTTGGGGCCCAGTGTATAGCCTATGCGTAGTGCTTGTAATGGGACTCTACGATATGTATGCACTTTGTATTAGCTTTCTTCCAGTCTCTATTTTATGTTTCTGTCTTTGTTACTGGTTTTTTTTCCCCTCGTACTTTCTCACCTACTTTGAATTTATGCTATCATGCTGCATTTTGTGTATTCTTGTAAGCTGTCTTATATCCATTTGGAACAAGGAGGGAACTAAATACGTGGATGAATAAATATGTATATGAGAAAACACACGGATAAATAAACCAATAGGGCAAATGCAATGAGGCCAGTGAATCAGCCAGGACTCTTCAGATGGCATGGTGCCTCTAAAAATAATCAATGTTAAGGACTTGAAGCTTGGAGGAACGTGTGGGAAAGAAGCAGGTGAGGCTGCATTTGGAGGTGACATGTTCTGTGTGATGTCTGTGTCTTCTGAAGCATGCTTTATGTGTGCTGTGTCTCGTGCTGCACTTGAACATTCTGTGTGTTTCAGAGGACATGCAATGCTGTGTGAAGGGCCAGGTCTCTAGAGAGCACAGTTTACATGTCCTCTGTTTGTAGGGGATCCAGAGAGATTTGGAAAATGACATGAAGGCCCCTCTCCCTGGAGGAGGGAGGAGTACGAGGGGATAGTTGGATATAAATC